CTAACCACGCCTTTTATCCACTGTGCCAAGGACACGTGGAGAACTTTCAGAGGGGAATTAACAGGAGATAACTGATATCCATTAAACATGGCACGTGGAACGAGAACCATGAGTTCGTATGTAAATTTTATCACTGAGTTTTCTTTTTCAAAAATTGATTTAAATTTTATAATTTAACCTTATTTTTTATTAAGTCAAAATGTCGTCAACGTATATTGTGTAGATTTGTAGTTTGTCAGTTGTTTTAATAAACTTTGTTGTCGATACGAGACATGTAAAAGTTAGAGAAAGTAGGACCTAATGGGTTTCCCATGGTGACACCCTTAGTTTGAGTGTAGGTGTCACCATTATGATCATAGAATGGGAATTTTGTGGTTCAGGCGAGTAGCTGCTCGGGTTTTTGGAAGAGGGATTGGCGAGTGTTTGTAGATACAGTTACTAATTATGTTGTTTCTTCGACTGGTAAAAAGATTTTCGACATTGAGTAAAGCTAGTGTTCACTTGTAGGATTTGATACTTTTAAGATATGAATGAATTCGCTTGTTGATGCGATGCTGTAGTTGTTGGTTGCGTATGAGGAAATTACGTTATTTATGGTGTTTGATAACTGAGGCACTGGTGTAGGTATTTGGGATATGAGATGTCGGAGAGGAAAAATTGGTTTATGAGATTTTACATTACTGTACAGGTATCCTGGTTGGTAAATTGATTTTAAAGCTTCAGATCTCAGCGTTGTTTACAGTAATCAGTTTGTTTACGTACCTTTTTTTACTGATTCTGTGGGATTTTTTTTCCTGAATTTTGTTGTCAGCTTGGATAGATTGTAATTTTTAGTTGTAATCTTGTCGGTTAACCCTTTGAACCCTGCATTCCTGAACAATTTTAACCCTTCTACTTGAGCCCCTGAGGCAAAATTCGCAAATAACTGGTATGTAATGTTTCACGGTAGATGTAAAAATAGTTACCAGTGTTTACCCACCGTTCAACCGGTGGCTGGGCATCAAGTCATTTTTTTTTCTCTACCACCGTTCAACCGGCAGCTGGGCATGAAGTCATTTTTCTCTACCAATTTTCAACTGGTGGGTGGGCATTACATCATTTTTATCTACCAATGTTCAACCGGTGGTTGGGCATTAAGTCATTTTTATTTACCACCGTTCAACCGGTGGCTGGGCATTACGTCATTTTTATCTTCCACTGTTCAACCGGTGGCTTGGAATTACGTCATTTTTAGCTACCACCATTTAACCGGTTGCTGGGCATGAAGTCATTTTTATCTACCACTGTTCAACTGGTGGCTTGGCATTACGTCATTTTTAGCTACCACCGTTCAACCGGTTGCTGGGCATTATGCCATTTTTCTTTATCAAAAGTAAAGCGGTGATCAGGGCTCAAAGGACTAAGAGCTACATAATAGTTGGTTGAGTCGGCGCGACTGATGAAGGTATTAGGGTTGTTGCGTAACACCTTTGCAGTTGATTTAAGTTTGTGACGATATTATTCTGTGTGGAGAACCATTTTTCAAACCTTCCGCTTTTAAAAGGTCTCACAGATTTAGGGCTCACATATTTACGGCTCACATATTTAGGACTCACATATTTAGGGCTCACTTATTTAGGGCTCACAGATTTAGAGCTCACAGATTTAGGGCTCACATATTTAGGGCTCACAGATTTAGGGCTCACAGATTTAGGGCTCACATATTTAGGGATCACTTTTTTAGGGTTCACAGATTTAGAGCTCACAGATTTAGGGCTCACAGATTTAACGCTCACAGATTTAGGGCTCACAGATTTAGGGCTCACATATTTAGAGCTCACAGATTTACGGCTACATATTTAGGGATCACTTTTTTAGGGCTCACAGATTTAGGACTGACAGATTTAGGGCTCACATATTTAGGGCCCACATATTTAGAGCGCATAGATTTATTGGCTTGCTTATTTAGGGCTCACCGATTTAGGGCTTACAGATTTAAGGCTCACAGATTTAGGGCCATCTCAGGCATTCTTTCCGTTTTCTATGGAGTGATTTTTTTTTTCTAAACATTTCAACGCAAGCAAAGAGTGTGTGTCACTAGAACGCAAGGTGTTTCCAAGAAGAGGGACCAAGCGAAGATAGGCGTGTTTGAGGAAAGGATAAAGGGAAGGACGGGGGATTAGATCAAGGCATGTCGATTGACATTACGTTCGAATATTTGAAGATTATATCTATCAAGGAAGCGTGTTATAGGAAGGGAGTTCAACTGACGGGAAGTGAAAGGTAAGAAGCTGTTGGAGTAGAAAAGGCGGCTACAATTAACCGTTTCGACAGTGAAAGGGTGGGACCGAAATGCCAACCTAGTAGCACTCCTAAAATCATACAGTCTGAGAACCAGCGAAAGTAGTTTGTCGAAGCAGTTGCCCTGAAAATACTTGTAGGTAAAACAGAGTGAAGCAGCTCGTCTACAGTCATTTTCTCATAGACATACGGTTCTCCACACAGAATAATATCGTCACATAATATATATATATATATATATATATATATATATATATATATATAAATATATTATATATAAGAACCGAAGAAATATATATATATATATATATATATATATATATATATATTATATATATATATATATATATATATATCCATTTATATATATATAAAAGACAACATTGAAACAGGTTGTTTCATACTAGACGCAATCGTCAGGCCTGACGATTGCGTCTAGCATGAAACAGCCTGTCGCCTCTAAGTGTTGACTTCTATGTTCACTTTTATATTTACACATGCTCTATCTCTGATATTGAGCATTTATCCCATAAATATAGCACACCTTAAGACTAGATTTTTATATATATATATATATATATATATATATATATATATATATATATATATATATATATATCACTTACACACGTTTTTAGTGGACACCAAAAAATATCGAATTGCGTTCTCTTTCGCAAGAGAAACCGTCGGAGGCCGCATATTTTTTCTTTTATAAGATTTCTCGAATATTTAACCCAGTAGGCGATAAAAAATATATTCTTTAAAAATAAAAACGTGGCGTCTACTTACATAGGGGCATCCACTAAAATTACCCTGCGAGTGTTAAAAAACTACCCGATTAATAAATAAGAATTCATTACTTTATCTACATATATATATATATATGCATTTGTGTGTGCACTTTGTGTAGATATATCAATATCTACGTGGAAACATCTACTATCTATGTTCCCATTCATATATATATATATATATATATATATATATATATATGCGTTTGTGTCTGTGTGTGTACCGCTCTGCTCGCATTCATATAGTATACATACACACACACACACACACACATACACACACATATATATATATATATATATATATATATATGAAAATATTTTTTGCAGGTACAAAATCTAATTACTGAAATAAAAGTGTGTAGCTTAATATTGCAAGACATGTTAAAAGCGAAGCAACCGGTTTCGCTCCCGCTCTTCAGGACTCTACGAGAGATTTAACTTAAATTAAAAACAACAGAAAATGTGTAATGAGAAGGAGAAGGGGGAAAAAATTGAACACAAGGAGCTAGAGACAAGCCCTAACAAGCATTCACGCTGTTTACACAGGTAAGGCTTGCAGGACCCGATATAAAGTGCCTCCTGCACCTTGAGATGAAATAACGAGTGTGACCGGGACAGAACAGTGAACCAGTCAGCACTAAAATTAGCAACACACCCTCTGTTATTTAAGAGGTGCTCACATATGGCAGAATCATAGGCATTTGGGACACGTCTATTCAAAGACAAGATGTGATTCCTGATCTTAGTGGGAATATGTTGTTTAATTCTCATGTCCAGGCGTTGTGTTGTTCTCCCTATGTAGTCAGCATCGCAACTACAAATATATTTGTAAACAATAGAATTAATTTGATGGGGAGGGAGAGCCTCCTTGCACCCAGAACGAAACATAGACCGGGTTTGGAAAACTATACGGACCTCACCCGAGAAAAAACAACGCCGAACATGAGCTGAAATCTGCCTAATTATGCTTTCACACTTGGGTCCAATCCAGGGCAATCTAAGATAAACGGTACTTTTTAACTGTACAGAGTTTGACCTGTCTGAACTCCACAATCTTGTTCCGGATGACCAAATGAACAGTATCGGGGAGGTACCCTAAACCGCATAAGGTTTCCTTCACAAAATTGATTTCATCATCCAAGAAAGACTCCGAACATATCATTAATGCCCTAGGAATTATGTTTATTTTACGTTTTCTAGGAAAAAAGGAATCCCAACGCATATATATCCCCGCAAATGTTGGTTTCCTATAAACAGAGGTAAGAAAAGTTTTCGGTGTCCGATGTACTAGAAAATCCAAGAAGGCTAGTTGAAAATTGGATTCCTTCTCGACCGTAAACCTCAGCGCTGGATGAATACCATTAAGAAAAGAAAGAAACTGATCAGGCTCAACTCCATTATTAAATAAACAAAAAGTATCGTCAACATATCGGCATGAAAGCCAACAAAAATATTGGCAAGTGCCGGGCCCAAAGGGGAGCCCATAGCAACACCGGCAATCTACCGATACATTGTATTATTAAAACTGAATTCGACAGACGACGTGGCAAATTTCATCAAATCCACAAATACAGACTCAGGAATAGTAGGTGGAGACAAAGAACTGCGATAAAGCAAATCGCAGCATATATATATATATATATATATGTAAATAAGCAGCTCTTAAAAACTGTCTGCCGTGTATGCCTATCTATCTATCTATCTATCTATCTATATATATATATATATATATATATATACGTTTCATTTAAAACATGGGTGGGGATGTTGCTTTCCAGAATTTTTCTAAACATTGTTTGTTGATTAGATTGTCTGATTAATATTGTTTGTTTAACCGAGTGAAATTCTATTTTATCATTTTTTTTCTTTTTTATTTGTTCGTGTCAAATTTAACCTCCTATCCCATGATGCATCAGCTTTTAACAAATGCTGAATCAGCTGGTAAGTATTTTCTTCTTCTTCTTCTTCTTCTTCTTCTTCTTCTTCTTCTTCTTCTTCTTCTTCTTCTTCTTCTATTCGCGTTAGGCAAACCGCCCCGAGCGACTAACAATGGTTAGCTCAAGTTACAACAAGATCCATTCTTACACTTAGTTCGGAAGACAAAGATTTTGGCAGATTGCAATTATCTTTCGAAAATCCCCCTCCGGGAAAAAATAAATAAATAAATAAATAACAATAACCTTAGCCTTAATTTTCTTTTAATGTCAAGTACTTTTTAAGACCTAGGAAATGATGTCTCTCCAAAATATCCTTCATTTTAATACCTCTGAATCTTCATGCACGTTCTTTAGAAAGGTAGTGGGATGTTTCACTTTGAATTCTCCACTGTTTTGAATGATCATCCCCTGCCAAGGCTAAAGACCTCGGTTTACCTTATTATTTTAAACTTACCTATTAGCAAAGGGGAGGTGTATTCATGCTTTTCCCAAGGAACAAACCGCTGATTTAATTGTCCATGTGAAAAACAATTACACTATCTTTCACCTGCGTTTAGTCCATATCAGGGAGACATCTATTCATGCTCTTTGCAAGTATATTCGCACGATGGGAATCAACAGTCAAAATTTGAGCAGAGGCGGCTTGTGTTCACTTAGGAAAGGCATGAACCCACTTTATCCAGTATTCTCTGTGCTTACTAAATGGAGTACCAAGGTAATGTAATTCTAACCGTTGATTATATTTTTCATGCTGAGAACAGTTACACTATCTTTCACTTTCGTTTAGTACATTTCAGGGAGATATGGATTCATGCCTTTTTCAAGTGTATTCGCCCAATGGGAACAGATGCAGCCCCATCTGAGATTCAAACTCTTTTCTCTGATTCTGTTCTCCACTCCGATAAACATTACGTTACCATGCAGCATCATTTAGTAAACACAGAGAATACAGGGTAAAGTTGGTTCATGCCTTTCCCTAGTGAACACGAACAACTATCTTTCATCTTCGTTTCGTACATATTAAGAATTGATTTCAGTCATCTTTTTCTTTCTGTCTAGCAGAGTTTTTTTAGAACCAAAGAAAAGAGTACTGAAGTTTTTTGTCCTGGGTATGACGATAAACTACAACCGGCAGCAAGTTTTTTGATAGGGAGATTGGAGGATTTTAAAAAGCGTTGAACTACCTCTTGCTGTTGTTCCCAGATCCTGACCCGGGGTGGCAGCACCTGTTAGGGTCCCAGCTATGGGCAAATAGTGACCCCCCCCCACCAAACAAAAACAAACCACTACGAAAGTATAAAAATTCATTTTTATAGTAAAAAAATTCCACCAACAGATTTCCAAATGATCCAAGAAAAATAAATTTAGACATTAAATGACACATGGGGAGTTGATATATCGTCAAACAAATCAAACCAAACCGAATTGAACTCTTAAGTACTATCAGTCCTCCTATATGTCAGTGAATGCGGGACAACACCCTCGCAGATGAAGGAGAGAATTGAAGCAACAGAAATTTAGCTCTACCGAAGGATGCTGAGAATACCATATACTGCATTTCCGTTCAGTACATACGAGGTTTGTCTGAAAAGTAACGGGACTCGTGTCGCAAACAATTCATTTCAATTCCAAACAACAAACGACATTGTTATCCCTTCAAAGTAGCCCTATCTCTTGTCGAATGCACTTTTCCACCTTTCTCTGCCACGCTTCTATTCACTGAAGGAAGGATTCTTCGTAGATGTCCCCTCACGTCACGGCTCTCTTGATGACACCCACACTTTCAAAACGGGTCCCCTCGATGATCCCCATTGAGCTTGGGGAAAAGAAAAATAAGTCACCCTGAGCAAGATCAGGTGGATAGGAAGGCTGTTCCAGTACGGCGATGTTCTTCCAGGAACTGCCAGATGCTCAGGGCGTTGTGAGCAAGTGCATTGTTGTGGTGAAACAGTCATGTTTTTTTTTTTTTGTTGTTTTTTGTTTTTTTTTCTTCCTGTCACAATTTTCGTCTCTTCTCGCGCACTGAGCGAAGCAAACGCTGCAGGAAAACTTTGCAGACCTGTTGAATGATCATCCGGCAAGAATACACTGTGGACGATGCCCATAGCTCACACAGCACACGGTTACTTTTCAGAAATACCTCCTATATATAACGCAGGGAGATGTGGATTCGTGCCTTTTCCAAGAGTATAAGGCTGATTCTATCAACCGTGCTGAAGTTTTCTTTTCATGGTGTGTTCCTTCAGGACGTAGGTGGACCCAAACTCCTTATTTCTCGAATATATCTGAATTGCTACGGCTTCTTTGGAAAAGTTAGGGGAGTCATTTCCTTTTTTCTCTCTTCAAAAGAGTAGATGTAGTGATACTACAGAAAGGTTTTAGGGCACCTCGAGGCGGTGTAATGGTTAGCAAGCTTGTCTCGCTTAAACAATTACGACTGAGTATTGAGTTCGATCCTCACTGGGTGGCCCATACTTTCGGCCTTGTGCCACATCTAAGCTATGCTTAGAAAATCACTATGGGGCACATCGAGGCGGTGTAGTGGTTAGAAAGCTTGTCTCGCTAGAACATTTACGACTGAATAGTGAGTTCGATCCTCACTGGGTGCCCCATACTTTCGGCCTTGTGCCACATCTAAGCTATGCTTGGAAGATCACTACTACAGAAGTGGTTCTCAAACATTTTGAAGTCCTACCAATAATTTTAGGCGCCCTAGATACAAATTTCGGAAAAATATGTTATAATGAAGTCAAATATTGCAGAAAGAAAATAATGCAATAAAAGAAATATAAAATGAAACATACCTTAAGTTTATTCATTCTTGTGTTTAGAATAGAATAATTTATCCTGATTGACGTGTTTACGATAAAGTAACTAATTCATCACATTTGCTTATAAACAAATAAGTGATGAATTATAAATGATAAATTACTATGAAAGTATAAATAAGACAACTTTTAAATAAACAATCCTAAGCCTCGTTATCATTTTCTGTTACATAATATATCTTTTATTAATCAACTTTCTCGAACTAGACATGGAGGACCGAAGAGCAACTCCTACCAGTTCAATATAGCAAAACAAAAGCTTCTTATCATTGAAGCTTTCCTCGAGTGCTATCCGTAAAGAGACGGGTACTGTAATATAATAAAGTATATTTATTTCTTATATTTGGACATATATTTCTTTGGAATGCCAGGGCGCAACTAGACATCTTCCAGGGCGTACCGGTGCGCCCGGGCGCACGATTTGAGAACCACTTAACTACAGATATGTTGTGTCCAGAATTTTGCCATACTTTTGGTTGGTCTTCTTTGTCCCAGTGGCGTAACATGTATTGCCGGCGCCCGGCGTAAAACAAGTGTTACGACCCCCTCCCCCAACATACGCAGTTAACCCTAATTGTTCCCTCACCCCAGTAACGCAACCCTCCTATGCATATGCATTTTAAAGAAAACACTGGTTGGACTAAAATAATATTCATCTGATATCAATATATTCAAATTTATTTAACACTTTGACCGCCAGAGGTCACTTACGAAATCTGATTTCAAACTCCAAAATGGCCAACCAAGGCAATAAACTTTTTTTTTTATGAAGCTGATTTATAGCTTCAATTGAAGTCTTAACATTGTTTCCACGCTGGACGTATCGCTTCTACTAAACTTGTTACTGACGCCTGCAACTGAAAATCTAGAAGAAAATGCCAAACACGAGATAATCTACATCATTTGAGAATCACTGTTTTAGTGCAACAGCTACCCATTTTGTCCTGCTATTTAACCCATATTAGGGGTTTTGTTGGTTCCTCTTTTTTATATAATGGTCATGATACATCAAACGAGAAGTTTTAGAGTAAGGCGCTCTTCCAGTTTGGACTGCTCATTTTTTTTTTTTTTTTTTTAAGAAACTGATCACGTTAAAGGAAATCGATCCCAAATATATCCATTAGGATTTCTTTGAATGTCCATTCTGGTAAACCTGTTTGAAAGATAACCAAACTTGAACCTCTTGGTCGTTTTTTTTAAAGGGTCTGTTTCGAAGGTAGTCGATCGGACTGTCTTCAAGGGTACGCTTTTGAATGTCATTTCGTGCTCTTTTCTGGAAGGCATTCGACCCGGAACGTCTCCATGGAGATCCGTTTGGAAGTGCATTCTCCTGAAGTTATGGAAGGTAGTCGAATTTAACGTCTTCTTTCTTTGGACGTTTTTTTTCGTTTGGATGGCAGTCGACACGAAACATCTGCATGCAAATCTTTTTTGAATATCCATTCCTGTACATTTGTTTGGAAGTTAATCAACAGTGTGCGCCCTCATGGGACTCTTTTGGAAAGTACATTCTCAAACTCTTGTTTCGGTGTTAGTCGACCCTGAAGGTCTTCATGGTGATTCCTTTGAAAATCGATTCTCTTTGGAAGTCTGAACGTTACTCCAGAACAGTGGCTCTCTAATCGTGCGCCTGGGCGCACTGGTACGCCCTGGGAGATGTCTAGTTGCGCCCTGCCATTTCGGAGGAATATGTGTCCAGATATAAGAAATAAATATTCTTATTATATTACGGTAGCCGTCTCTTTACTGATAGCCCCCGAGGAAAGCTTCAATGATAAGAAGCTTTTGTTTCGCTGTATTGAACTCGTAGGAGTTGCTGGTCGCTCCACCAGGCCTAGTTCGAGAAAATTGATTACTTCAAAGATGTATTATGTAACATAAAATGATAATGAAGATTAGGATTAATTTAAATTTGTCTTATTTATATATTTTTACTAGTCTATGTAAACCCCGAATTCAATCTTTGAGCGTAAACATTACCCTGAATTTCAACCCGGATGTATTCGCGTGTATTTTAAACGTTTATTTTTTCTGTTAAAATAGCTGATGTAAACAAAGGAAATTGTGGAGAGCTAGAACTATTGTGATTTGACTTTTACAAGGGCGAGTTCAACAAATATAGATAATCGATATATTTTAAGCTTTTGCTTTTTACAATACATAGATGTGGGAGATTTAGGGAAAGGTTGTGATAAGGTAATCGTTTATGACTCAGCCTGCCTTGAGAATGCGTATTCGTAATTATGGCTTACGATTGGGCTCGAACAGCGATCTATAGTGCCTTTCTTTCTTTTTTTATTTGTTTCTTTCTTTCTTTACTTTTTTATTTGTTTCTTTCTTTCTTTACTTTTTTATTTGTTTCTTTCTTTCTTTACTTTTTTATTTGTTTCTTTCTTTCTTTACTTTCTTTTCTTTCTTTCTTTACTTTCGTTTCTTTCTTCTGCTACACCGTTTCTTTTTTTCTTTTCTTTCTTTATTTCCTTGCTTTCTTTATTTCCTTTCATTCTTTTGATATTGCTTTTATTTAATTAATTTCTTTTTCTCTTCTTTCTTTTTTCTTGTGTTTTTCTCACTTACGTTTTCGCTTTCTTTCTTTCTTTTATTTCCTTTCTTTTTCTCTTCTTTTTTCATTTGTTTCTTTTTCTGTTTATCTATGTATTATGTTCCTTATTTATGTATTTCCTTTCTGTCTATTTTATTTACTTTCTTCTGATTTTCCTTTCTTTCTTTAAATAATTCCTCTCTTTCTATAGACACTCTGTTCCTTCTCCTTTCTACCTTACTTCCTTTCTTTCTTCTTTTCTTTCTTTTCTTTCTTTCTTTCTTTCTTTCTTTCTTTCTTTCTTATCATCGTTTTCCATTTCTGCCAATCATAACTAACGAACCATGTTGTCAACCACACCCTTTTAACACCGTATCTTGTTACACCCAGCCGTCCCTCTCACCCATTTACACAGATACTATCAACACTTTGCTCCTGACCAAACCGGATAACACCTCACTCGTAACAAAACCAACACCTCCTGTCGCCGCCACTACCAACACACACGCACATACGCGCGTGCGTGCACACACACCAACACAACCACCACCGCCACCACCAACACCACTACCTAGCGTGACTTTCAAGTTTAAATTCAAGCTTTCAAAGCCGGACTTTTTTCCCTTCAGAGACAGGCCTTTACGGTTCACCGGTTCTCACGGAATCCAAAATCAAATCTACGCTGTTGGTTTTAAAATCGCGAATCTTCGCTTCGTCCATTAAGGTTGTGACTCAACATAATTTTGTATTCCTTGTTGGATTATACCATTATTGAGACGGGTGGAGGGGGGGTTGTTCAAGGAAGGAATGGTGGGATTTCATTATTGGTAACGTTGGGGACCTGTTTTTTTTCTTTCTTTTTAGCTCTTTTCTCTCTCTCTCTCTCTCTCTCTTTTTTCTTTCTCTATCTCTCTCTTTCTCTCTCTCTCTCTTTCTCTCTCTCTCTCTTTCTCTCTTTGCTCTCTTCTCTCTCTCTTTCTCTTTCTCTATCATTATCTCTTTCTCTATCTGTCTATTCTCTCTCTCTCTTCTCTCTTTCTTTTCTATCTCTCTCTTTCTTTCTCTATCTGTCTCTTTCTCTCTCTCTCTCTTTTCGCTCTTTCTCTCTTTCTCTTTCTCTCTCTTTTCTTTCTTTTCTATCTCTCTCTTTCTGTTCTATCTGTCTCTTTCTCTCTCTCTCTTTTCTCTCTTTCTTTTCTCTATCTGTCTCTTTCTCTCTCTCTCTTTTCGCTCTTTCTCTCTTTCTCTTTCTCTCTCTCTTTCTCTCTTTCTTTCTCTATCTGTCTCTTTCTCTCTCTTCTCTTTTCTCTCTCTCTCCTCCTCCCTTTACCGATCTTCTTTTCCTTTCTAATTTATTTTGTTTCTTTCATTGATATTTCTTTCAGTATATTCTGTTTGTTTTCTGTCTTTCTTTTCTACCGTTTCGTTCTTTTTTCTCTCTTTCTCTATTTCTATCCTTCTTCTCTTTTTTTATTCCTCTTTTTTTAGTCTTTTTTTCTCTTTCTATTCATTCATTTACTTTTCGTCCTGATTTCTTTTTTTTTATTCTCTTTTCTTTCTTTCTTTCTTTCTTTCTTTCTTTCGTTCGTTCGTTTTCCTATGTTTTTTTTTCCTTTTTTCTTTTTTTCCTTCTTTATCCTTTCTACACTTACGTCTCCATTCTCCTGCATGGATGTGAAACGCGAGCAGTGTTGGCAGATACAGAGAGAAAGATCCAAGCGTTTGAGAACAAATGCATGAGAAAACTCCTTGGCATTTTCTATTGGGAACAAAAAAACAATGTGTTTGCGCGTAAGAGGGTTAAAAGTTTTGTGGACTACCAGGAACCTCTTCTCACCGTGGGAGAAGACGGCCGAGGGAGAAGACGGCCAAGAGAGAAGACGGCGGAGAGAGAAGACGGCCGAGGGAGAAGACGGCTGAGAGAGAAGACGGCCGAGGGAGAAGACGGCTGAGAGAGAAGACGGCTGAGGGAGAAGACGGCGGAGGGAGAAGGCGGCCAAGAGAGAAGACGGCCGAGGGAGAAGACTGCGGAGGGAGAAGACGGTGGAGGGAGAAGACGGCCAAGAGAGAAGACGGCGGAGGGAGAAGACGGCGGAGGGAGAAGACGGCCAAGAGAGAAGACGGCCGAGGGAGAAGACGGCGGAGGGAGAAGACGGCGGAGGGAGAAGACAGCCGAAGGAGAAGACAGCTGAGGGAGAAGACGGCTGAGGGAGAAGACGGTTGAGAGAGAAGACGGCCGAAGGAGAAGACGGCCGAGGGAGAAGACAGCTGAGAGAGAAGACGGCCGAGGGAGAAGACGTCCGAGAGAGAAGACGGCCGAGGGACAAGACGGCCGAAGGAGAAGACGGCCGAAGGAGAAGACAGCTGAGAGAGAAGACGGCCGAGGGAGAAGACGTCCGAGGGAGAAGACGTCCGAGAGAGAAGACGGCCGAGGGAGAAGACGGCCGAAGGAGAAGACGGCCGAGGGAGAAGACAGCTGAGAGAGAAGACGACTGAGGGAGAAGACGGCCGAAGGAGAAGACGGCTGAGGGAGAAGACAGCCGAGTGAGAAGACGGCCGGAGAAGACAGCTGAGGGAGAAGACATCCGAAGGAGAAGACGGCTGAGGGAGAAGACGGCTGAGGGAGAAGATGGCCGAGGGATAAGGATGCAGCATTATTGTGGAATCGTCTCCGTCAACCAATAGACCTTTCCAGAACGAGAAGGGGTATGCAATACTTCTGCAATTGATGTTTAGTTTCCTCACTCGTCTTCATCACCTTCTCTCGTAGTTTTCTGTCCGTGTCTGCTTTAAATTCGTAAAGTCTAGACATGGAAGTGGAAAGCGATATTTATTTCCGTTTATTTACAGAAAATGTGACACAAGCCCAAAAGAGGGAATGGGGAAAAGGACGGTCTTGTTCTGTCTTAACATTAAATTTAGCTTGCCACAAACACTGACCCAAACACACCACAGTATTTCTAGCACAAAAACAACGCATACTTTAGGTGAAATGATTAAAAACAAAATATTACTATCGAATAAAAAATAAATTCAGGTAGTCAAGCGTACTACTAGATTGTAAATTAGGTCCCACCGTCTCACTAGCTATAATCCAACCGTCTGTTCTAGTCTACTAGTTTCTTTTCTCGTACTTCTCGCGTGTGGAACCCGCTTCCGATTCCTTGCTTCCCTGTCAACTACAATGTTCAAAAATTGAAATGCAATGTCAATCACCGTCTTCTGTCTTCCTGAATCCCGTTTCTTTTTTTTCTCTTTATTAAATTCTTCTCATTCTCTTTCATCGTCCCAAGTGACCCCCTCCCCTTGCGTCTTAGTGGCATTATCACCTTGCTTAGTGGGTGGGGGAATGATTAAAAAAAAGATAAAGATTAAGCAAAAGCCAATAACTTATAATGTGAGGGGCGTCGTTCATTCAGCAGAGAAATCATTCTTAGATACAATCGTTCTCTATCACTGACAAAATAAAGACTTAGAAACGCTCTAAGGAAACAAAACTGCCGACCCCACCGCAGAACTCCGACCTTCTTACTTTTCAGTGCTTACTCGCCCTCAATGTCGACACAATAGCAGTAATGGCCTGAGCTAACGGTCGATAATATTTACAAAGCAGTAAACCTTAAAGCCTTGTTCAAACATTTGCCAAGAGCAGGCCGGACTAGCGGCTCCCCCGACTGCTTAGCTTGCCGCCTGGGCCTCGTTTTCACGCCAATTAGCCAACGGAAGTGACGAATGGGGAAGCAGCGTCATATCCTGTCTTGTCAGCTATTTTTTTTTTTTTTTTGGACTCTCCATGTAAACGGGGAAACTTAACACACACACATAGAAAGACAAACTAATTCCTAATACAAAATGGTTGAGTATGCAACCGTCACTGTGTCATTCTTATAATTGGAGGAAAGGAAGAGATCGGTCCACACAGACAGCGATAGATAAGTCGATACCTATATATATATATAAAGAAAGAGAAAAGAAAGAAAGTGCTATCATTAGGTCAGAGGTCGTCGTCTGAAACAGAGAAATCATTGGTGTTAACGCACAAGAAGAAAATAAGTCATAAACTGCCGAGATGGTTGAGAAAATAGTCAAACAAAAGAGTGGGGGAAAACCAGACGAGATAGGAATATTTATTCTATCGCGAACATTTTCGCGGAGAGAAAATCTGAAGAAATGTTCATGAAAGAAACTGCGAATTGCAGGAGTTTTCTTAAGATTGGTTCTGACTAGTGGCGTAGCTAAGGGGGGCGGACCGCCCTGGGTGCCAGCTCAGGAGGGGTGACACTATGTCACCCCCAACAAAATTTTTCAACCAGGCTAAGGTGCTAAAAATAGTCTGAAAACAGTGGTAGAGACACAGGGTTTCGCAGGCTGGCATATGACCCCCCAGAAATAATTTATGACCCCCCAGTTTTGTACCCCCGTCAGAAATTTTCTAATAAATTGTCGGGAAAAATAGCAATGTTTTCAGCTTTTGATTTGAACTGATTATTTTGTGATATTGGATTTTGTCTTGGATCATACATGTAAACAGTAACGTACCGGTCAGTAGAGTAAAGTAGAGGTAGAGCATGTATGAAAATTTAGCTACAGCTAACCATTCAGCATAGCGGGAATCGGGGTTATTGGGGTGACATTTGAGCGGACCGCCCCGGGTGACGTTTACTCTAGCTACGCCACTGGTTCTGACTATCCCTGAACGCTCGAACCGGGGGTGAAAAGACCTTGACTGGGGGCCCCGGGCAGTCCTTTGTGACCCTCACTATTTTATAAACATTTTTTCTACCTACATCTATATACTCTACGTTACAGATTAAACTAAGCACAACTATTTAATAGAAAAACTTCAACGAATAATTTATTTCATGGAAATATTTCGACTAGTTGTTGCATGTCTTAGTCACTCCTTTAATTTGAGTAAAACAATGCAAAGAAAGTAGAAATTATTCGTTGGAACTACAAGTTTTTTTTTCTTTTAATTATGCAACTACACTCGGAGACAAGCATCCTAACTTTGACAACTATTAAAGATTAAAAAACAATTTCGCTAATTTTGACGTCATTCTGGGGTTTATTTGTTTTTTATCCCTTAATTTGTCTTCCCCAAGTTTCGAAAAAAAAAAACACTATATAAAATTCACCATTTTTTTAAAATTACATAATGTTGAATACGTTCACAGTTCTTCAAGTAATGTTAAAATTTGCCGCAAAACATTGTTGATTTATTTAAGGTGGAATGATCTATTATGACATGTCTCTAATTTGCATTTAGATACACCGTATTTATTTTCAATTTTTCGTGTTAATTTTGTGCACCTATATTGCATGTGTTGTAGCAAAGACGGAAATAAACAGGGCAGTCAAACACCAAATGACAAAAAAATGGTTTCTGAGTCGGTGGATTCGCGCATCCTTCCGGTTAATAAATTAATCCTTTGAAAATAGATATTTAATATTTTCAGACCATCGGCTACGTGACACTTACACTTTCCTATTCACGTTTTCTCTTGCCTCTTTCTTTCTCTCTCTCTCTCTCTCTCTCTCACTCGCACACACACACGCGAAGAAATCGCATTCCTTTTTATCTTAACAAACAACTACAAACAAGGAACTTTAGCACTCATAAACGCTGAGAAAAATTGTAGTTGTAAAAACTTGAAAAATATTTTATAAAGGATGTTTCATTAAGACGGATTATATACAAAGGTGTTTCATGTCAAAAATTTTTAAAAATATGTCAAACATATTTTTTATTACAGACAACGGCCGTAGAATGCAAATAAAAAGAAATTAAAATTAAAAAATGTTCAAAAGGATAATTTTTCATCTTTATTTTTATGTTACTTTTTACTTTTATTTTTATCTTTATTTTTATTTTTAATATTATATTTATTTTTAGCTTTATTTTCCATTTTTAAATTTTTTTTCACATTTACTTTAATTTTCAAAATGATAATTTTTCATTTCTATTTTTATCTTTATTTTTGTACTTTTATTTTAATTTTTATTTGTACTTTTCTGTTATTTTTATTTTTTATCGTAATTTTTATTTTCATTTTTAATTTTACTGTTATTTTTACTTTTATCTTTATTTTTTATTTTTACGTTTGTTTTGAATGTTCAAAAGGATAATCTTTCATTTTTATTTTTAATTCTATTTTAATCTTTATTTTTATTTTTACTGTCATTTTTATATTTATCTTTATTTTTTATTTTTACATTTATTTACATTTTTTAAATGTTCAAAAAGGTCATATTTAATTTTTGTTTTATCTTTATTTTCACGTTTATTTTTATCTTTATTTTTTACTTTTATTTTTATCTTTATTTTTACTGTTATATTTACTTTTCACTTTATTTTCCATTTTTCCATTTTTTCAACATTATTTAAATATTCGAAATGAAAATTTTACATTTTTATCTTTATTTTGATCTTTTTTGTATTTTTACTGTAATATTTTTATTTTTATATCTTTATTTTTTACTTTTATTTTTATTTTTACTGTTATATTTATTTTTAACTTTATTTTTTTTTAAATATTCAAAAGGATAATTTTTCATTTTTATTTTATCTTTATTTTTGTACTTTTATTTTGATCGTTTTTGTACTTTTACTGTTATTTTTATTTTTATCGTAATTTTTTACTTTTATTTTCATTTTTATTTTTACTGTTATTTTTACATTTATTTTGATCTTTATTTTTATTTTTACTGTCATTTTTAATTTTATCTTTTTTATTTTTACATTTATTTACATTTTTTTAAATATTCAAAAAGATCATATTTTATTTTTGCTTTATCTTTATTTTTTACTGTTGTTTTCATCTTTATTTTTATTTTTACTGATATCTTCATTTTTAGCTTTATTTTCTATTTTTACATTTTTTTTACATTTTTTAAATTTTCAAAAGGATAATTCATTTTTATTCTTATCGTTGTTTTTACTTTTATTTCATATTTATTATTGTTTTTACTGCTATTTTTATTTTTATCTTTATTTCAAAGTTTATTTTTGTCTTTATGTTTATTTTTGTCTCTAATTTTAGTTTTCAAATTTAAGGAGGGAGACATTCATATCCACTTTTCTTCTGGATTTCAATTTTTCAATGTTTTTCAAGGACTTATATTTAAAAAATCAACGTGATAAGCATCGATAAAAATTTGTAAAAACTCAAATGAAAATAGCAGCGAACAATCTCACAATAACTACTTCATATCGAAACTAATTTAATTAAAACATATATATGTGTGTGTGTGCGTGTGCGCGCGCGCGCGAGCACGCGCACGCGCGTGCGTGCATGCATGTTCCTTTATATAAAGGCGAACGGTTTTATTAAAATCCAATAATTAGATGAATTTTGAAAGCTACTAAAAATCGACGTTGTTTTAAGACAACGAAAAAAAGTAATTGTCTGTTAAAACACAAATATCTACGATTTGCCTTAAAAGTATAGAAAAAATGTTTATATCTGAATTTTTATATGAAATAGATAGATAGAAATGAACAGAATGGATAGATAGATAGATAGATAGATAGATAGATAGATAGATACATACATACATAAATAGAAATGAACAGAATGACATAGATAGATAGATAGATAGATAGATAGATAGATAGATAGATAGATAGAAAGAAAAAAATAAAAGAAAGAGATAGATAGATAGATAGATAGATAGATAGATAGATAGAAATGAACAGACTGAGATAGATAGATAGATAGATAGATAGATAGATAGATAGATAGAAATGAACAGACTGAGATAGATAGATAGATAGATAGATAGATAGATAGAAATGAACAGACTGAGAAAGAAAAATAGATAGATATGAACAAAATCCAATAGATAGAAAGAAAGAAATGAACAGACTGAGATAGATATAGATAGATAGATAGATAGATAGATAGATAGAAATGAAGAGAATTATATAGACAGATATAAAGGAGCAGAATGAGATAGATAGATAGATAGATAGATAGATAGATAGATAGATAGATAGATAATGGATAGATATGATAGATGGATAGATAGATAGATGATAGATAGATAGATAGAAATGAATAGATGAGAAAGAAAAATAGATAGATGAACAAAATCAATAGATAGAAAGAGAAATGAACAGACTGAGATAGATGAATAGAAGATAGATAGATAGATAGATAGATAGATAGATAATGAACAGACTGAGATAGACAGATATATATGAACAGAATTAGATAGATAGATAGATAGATAGATAGATAGATAGATAGGAACAGACTGAAATAGATAGATAGATAGATAGATAGATATGAACAGACTGAAGTAGATAGATAGATAATGAACAGTGATAATGAATAGATAGATAGATAGATAGATAATGAACAGATTGTGATAATGAATAGGCAGCGATAGATAGATAGATAGATAGATAGATAGATAGACAGATAGATAGATAGATAGATAGATATGAATACACTGAAAAGATATGAATACACTGAAGTAGATAGATAGATCGATAGATAGATAGATAATGAACAGATTGAGATAGATATAAATGAAGAGAATGTGATCGATAGAATTGGATAATATTATGCAGATTGCATGACTAACAATGGCATAATGCGGGGGACTCTTTATTTATTGCTTAGTTTAGTCTACACTTGTCATTTTAGACGATCTACGAAATTTGTTTGCGAAACATCCCGCCAGCATAGATGCATTCATATTGGCAAACAGCTGATGACAGCCAAAAGCTTTTAGAATTGAGGCACTGCTTATTCAACGTCGATCCTGATATCAGAAACTATAGCCGAAGAAAGGAAAACGGTAATAAAATTGCTTCATAAAACTGCATATACAAGAAAAGTGCCTCTCCACACACGCACAGAGAGAGAGAGAGAGAGAGAGAGAGACGCGCATATATATATATATATGTATAAGCAGCAATTTTTCATTAATGCATAATAAATGTTTATCGTACTGCTTATATTGGTACACTTCCGTTTGTCCTTGTTTTATTAACTAACCTATCTATTTTACATACATACACACACACACACACACACACATATATATAAGCATTACGCTCTGATCTGAGCAAGGCGGGAAGCCACTAGCACGCAAGGGGTTACAGATTATTTGGGGCAAGATCAAATAGGAGTGATAGAGGAAAGGAAGGGGAGAAGGGTAGTGGATAGATCAAGGCAACTGGAGATGTCGATTGACATTACATTTGAATAGTTGGAGATTATAGCTCTCAGGGAAACAGTAATAGGGAAGGGTGTTCCACAGGCGAGAGGTGCGAGGTATGAAGCTATTGGAGTAGAAGAGACGGCTACATTTAAAAGTTTCTACCGTGAAAGGGTGAGAGCGGGATGCCAGCCTCGTAGGGCGCTTGAATTCATGAAGACTTGGAACCAGTGAAAGCAGCTCATCAGAGCAATTATCATGAAAGTATTTGTAAAAAAGACAGAGAGAGGCGACGGCGCGTCTGTGAGAGAGTGACTGTAGACGAGATGCCAGATCAGGGCCAATTATATTACATATCCACTTCTGGATCTTGTCAAGAACTCCGACGTAAACAGAAAGTGCACCAGACTATATATGGCAGCAATACTCCATGCAAGGGCGAATGGTTGATTTGTATATGGGAAGGATCGATTCCGGGGAAAAAATTTCCTGACGCGGCACAGAGAGACAACTTTCCTTGCGGTGGACGAAGCAATTGACTCAATGTATTTGTTCCATCTCAGGTCAGCAGTTAACGTGTGACCGAGCAGACGCTGGGAGGTGCTCTCAAGAAGTTGAGCATCAAACATTCTAATGGGGGGAAGGGAAGGATGTCTATGGTGATTAATAGAGAGCAGTTTAGTTTTTGAGGCGTTAAACTTGACCAGCCAATTCTTGCCCCAATTAACATCTGATTGGAGGTCCATTTCAAGACGAGCGGCCAGGTTAGTTTTGTCAGCGACACTAGATTTGTTTTTGAGGCAGGAGTAAATTGTAGTGTCATCCGCGTAGATGACAACTTGGGAATCTATGGCGTCAGGAAGGTCGTTGATGAAAATAAGGAATAGAATGGGGCCAAGAATGGAGCCTTGGGGAACACCTGCGTTCATGGGATAGGAACTGGAGGGGAATCCATTGCGAAAGACCTTCAATTCACGGTTTGACAGGAATGATTGTATTAGGTTAAACAATCGACCTGTAATACCATAACCCTGGAGCTTGCGAAGAAGGCTATCAAATGCTTTGGAGATGTCTAGGGCCACGGCATGAGCCTCACCGCTATTTGAAGGGCTTGGTAAACATTTTCAGTGATGTCCGTAAGCACATCAGCTGTAGATCGGGCGTAGCGGAAATGATATTGCTTGTCTGAGAGCAGGTCATGTGATTTAAGGTGGTTAACCACTTCGGCGTTGATTAGGACTTCGAAGACTTTGCCGAAGATGGGTAGGAGACTAATAGGACGGTAATTAGAGGGGTCGCCAGAGTTCTTAAAAACAGGAACAATGGATGAGGACTTCCAGCAGTCAGGAAAACAGGATTCCTTGAGGCAGTAGTTATATAGTTTAGAGAGGGCGGGCGCTAGCTCAGGCGCGCATTTCTTCACGACAATGGCTGGTATGCCAACTACACCACTGGACTTGTGGGGTTCTAAATTGGAGATAATGCCCAGTACCAATGACGGGGTTATGTGTAACCCACTCAATAGGGCCTCAGTTCTTAGAGGGAAGTCTGCTATGGGTACACCGGAGGAGTCGAGCGTTGAATTAAATGAGAATTTCCGAGCAAAGCATTCAGCCTTGTCGGTAGAGGAGGTCAAGACCTCAAACTGGTTGAATAAAGGAGGTATGGAGGGTTTTCTGTTGTTCAGGATGCTCTTGCAGAGCCGCCAATAATCTTTGGAGCCAAATTTGCAAGATGCAATACGCTCCTTCATCCGAGCAGCAAGTAATTGACTTAGCTTCTTTGAGGACACGCTTACACTCGTTAAGGGCGGAGGCAAAGAGACGTCTATTGCAGTCCGACAAGTCGCTGTGAAATAGGTGAAAGAAGTGGTTCCTATGGGCAATGGAGGCTGAGCAAGCAGCGGAGAACCAAAGGGAGGAGTGCGTCTTAACCTTAAACATCCTTGAGGGGATGAAAGCGTCGATTCCAGCTTTAACCTAGGATGAGACCTCAGAAGCACATTCTTGGACAGGGAGTGTAAAGACAAAATCCCAGGGGACATCGCAGAGGAAGTCATGGAACGAGTCCCAATCCGCTCGTTGATAGTAGAACGAGCTTCTAGTGATAGGAGGTTCTTTGCGAGGGGGTGATGGAAATGTTAACAGATACTGCAGCATGATCGGAGTTACCAAGAGGGCAGAGCTGTGTGGCGCTATAAGATTCGGGGATGGAGGTGAAACACAGATCGAGAAGAGAGGCCTTACCTTCCAGGTTGAGGGCAAAACCTGTGGGGAAGTTAACTATCTGCGTGACGGATTGAGAAATTGAGAAATTAAGTGTTTGAATGCCTATATATATAACAAATATTGGTAACGCCTTACAAAACACGTAGACCAATAAGTTACTCGGGGAAGGAGAACGCATTTAAAGGCGGGGATATTTATGCAAATGAAGGGATCAATATTCAAATATGGTGCAAAAATAATCGATATCCAAAAGTTCGTGCAACTTATCTTCCGACATCAGGTTTCGCAGATACACCATTCCGTTTGTGAAGGTATGATAAATCGATTCAATTCATTTATATATTTATATATATATATATATATATATATATATATATATATATATAAAAGTGAACATAGAAGTCAAAACTTAGAGGCGACAGTCTGTTTCATGCTATATGCAATCGTCAGGCCACGTGTGCTGTTATTTTTCTCGGCTATTTATACATATATGGGTCAGTGGTGCATTGTGGGTAGTCTATTATGGCGGTTATATATATATATATATATATATATATATATAATTTATTTTCATTACGCTATATAAATATGTCACCAAATCACCATATTGATACATGTTTAAATCCAATCTAAGCTTTCGGCTTACATAAGCCATTATCAAAGATGACAGTTACATTTCAGTATATTGAACAATACACAGACAAAAAAATATTCACAGTCTGTTTTTGTTGCATGAAAAATTTCAAAGCAATGACAAACTCGTGTATACGAGACGTGGAAGCGAAAGTTGCACCGCAGCTCATGATGTCACACATGACCACGCGAGAGTGAAAACGAAAAGTATTAAGTATGGGAAGCCGTTGGTATAAACCAATGGCTTGTGTTATCAATTATAGGCATTTAAGAATATTTGTGGCGATTTCGTAGTTTATTTTGTTCAGGCTAGGTTTCAACTGTTTTATGAATTTAGCTTCAAGAATTTTAAATTTTTGTTTATTGTTTTCATGTTTAAGTATAGCTGTGTTTTCCTCGAGAATTTTCCGGAATTGTGTAAGCGGCCAGGCATGTTGTTTTAAATGCCTAAAAATGTAATATATATATATAGTCTGTTCATATATATCTATATCTGTCTGTTCATATCTAACTATCTATTATCTATCTATCTATCTCAATCTGTTCATACCTATCTATCTCAGTCTGTTCATATCTATCTATCTATCTATCTATCTATCTATCTATCTATCTATCTCAGTCTGTTCATATTTATCTATCTGCGTCTATTCATATCTATCTATCTCATTATGTTTCTATTTTTTTTCATTCTATCTTACTTCCTTTCTTTCTTTCTTTCTTTCTTTCTATATCTGTCTGTCTATTCATCTATCTATCTATCTATCTATTTTACGTTTTTTCTTCATTCTTTCTATCTACTATCTCATTATGTTTCTTTCTTTTTCTTTCTTTCTTTCTTTCTTTCTTTCTTTCTTTCTTTCTGCCTCGGTGTCTGTCTGTCTATCTATCCATCTATCTATCTATCTCATCATGTTTCTTTCTTTCTATCTAACTCGTTATGTTTCTTTCTTTCTTTCTTTTTTTCTATCTATCTATCTATCTATCTATCTATCTATCTATCTACGTTTCTTTCTTTCTTTCTTTCTTTTTCTTTCTTTCTTTCTTTCTTTCTTTCTTTCTTTCTCGGTGTCTGTCTGTCTGTCTATCTATCTATCTATCTATCTATCTATCTATCTATCTCATTATGTTTTTTTATTTCTTTCTATCTATCTATCTATCTATCTATCTATCTATCTATCTATCTGTCAAATGTAAAATAATAGCAATAACAAAACAATGCTCGAAACAGCAGAGATTCCGTTAGACGCTGGAGAATGCTACGCAAGACATGCTACAGCGTGTTTGGCAGGAGCTGGACTACAGGCTTGATGTGTGTCGTCACAGGTGGTGTGCATATTGAGCATATGTGAAATCGGCTATAAAATCGACATCACTTTGAATATCTTCTTCAAATTTCGATAAATCAATATCATATTGTGTAACCAGAGGCCTCTTTAATTTCCTTTGTCTGGAACATGTAATTACTCAGATATTCCCATTTTTAAATTATGTCAATTTGAGTAGGGTACACCCTGTATATAGGGTGTCTTAAAAATCGATAGACACTTTTAAACTTTTGGGGGTGGGGTATGCTGCAACAGTCTATCATGCGAAGAATTAGACAAAATTGGGGAGATAAGGAATTTTATGTTCAGGAAGATGATTTGTTTCTTTGTTTGGTTTGGTTTGTTTTACGGCATATCAACCTCAATGGGTCATTTAATGCCGACAACTTTTTTCCTTCCTGGTAATATTATTTTAAAAAATGTATTTCTGGTAATATTTTTTTTCAAAAATGTATTGCTGGTAATAGTTTTTTTTTTTTTCTTCAAAAATTTATTTCTGGTAATAATTTTTGCAAAGTATTTCTGGTATTAAAACCTATTTTTACACACGTTTCTGTGATAACTATTTGCCCATAACTGGGACCCTAACAGGTGCAACCACCCCGGGCCAGGGTGAACCTGGGAACACCAGCAATTAAGAGGTGGTTCCACGCTTCTCAAAACCTCCTGATCAGAGGCCTTGCTGTTGGACGTAGTTTATCGTCTTACCCAGGACGCGGATACAGTTTATCGTCTTAGCCAGGATGGTGTAGTTTATCGTCATAACCCAGGATGGTTTGTTTGTTTGTTTGTGTTTTACGGCATATCAACTTCGTAATGCCAATAGTAGATATACGGACCTTGTCAGACATACTTCGGTATAAAGATGTATATGTTGATATTTACACCTTGACAAATAAATAGATAGTTTGATAATCACACTTCGACATATAGATATATATTCCGATATACCGACCTTAGAGGTTCTTGCAAGTACTTTAACAGAGCTTAATCGTCGCATTGGGTTAAGTTGTAAAAAGGGAAAAAATTTTTGTTTTTTTTTAATTTTGTTATGGATACCGATTCCTGAAAGGAAACTGTATAACTTGTTAGTGTCTGTTTCTTCAAAGACTCTTTGAGGCTCTTATGGTTATAATATTTTCGTCTTATTTTAGAGATGGTTCTGCACTTCAACATGAAGTGATCCACTCTGAGTCTGCTTCCACAGGAGCATTTTGGAGGATCCATCCTCTTCAGGATGTAAGAGTGAATCAAGTATGAAGCAAGATGGAGCATCACAATACCACAATCGTTATGTACGATCATACCTGAATGGAATTTTGCCAAACACATTTACCTGAAGACGAGGTCTTTAGAATACCGTTTCTACCTGAATTCTATCCACTTGGGAATTTATATATATATATATATATATATATATATATATATATATATATATATTATCAATAAATTATATATATATATATATTTATAGTGACCCTAATATTATCAATAAATATATATATATATATATATATATATATATATATATATATATTGACCACTAATATTATCAATACATTATATATATATATATATATATATATATATATATTGACCATTAGTATTATCAATAAATTATATATATTGACCACTAATATTATCAATAAATTATATATATATATATATATATATATATATATATATATATATATATATTGATCACTAATATTATCAATAAATTATATATATATATATATATATATATTGACCATTAATATTATCAATAAATTATATAATTATATATATATATATATATATATATATATATATACATTGACCATTAATATTATCAATAAATTATATATATATATATATATATATATATATATATTGATCATTAATATTATCAATAAATTATATATATATATATATATATTTTGACCATTAATATTGTCAATAAATTATATATATATATATATATATTGATCACTCATATTATCAATAAATTATATATATATATATATTTATATTGACCACTAATATTATCAATAAATTATATATATATATATATATATATATATATATATATATTGACCACTAATATTTTCAATAAATTATATATATATATATATATATATATATATATATGACCACTAATATTATCAATAAATTATACATTTATATATATATATATATATATATATTGACCACTAATATTATCAATAAATTATATATATATATATATTGATCACTAATATTATCAATAAATTATATATATATATATATATATTTATATTGATCACTAATATTATCAACGCTCCGGCTTTCTTCAGGTGGTTGGAATTTCGAACTGAACCCTTTATTTCTATCACTGGGGTAGACTGTTCTAGTTCCACGTTGATGGATGCCAGTTATCAGTTATCTCCTGCTAATTTTCCCTCTGAAAGTTCTCCACTGCCTTAAATGGTTGCTGAAGACATTAGGTTCATAATACCCAGAAGTTCTTACCCAGTTGTCCTCAAGGACACATGGCCCAGTGGATAGAGGCGTTGGCTAGATCCAGTGATTGACCAAAGAATGTGAGTTCAATACCCGGAAACGTTGTGACAAAAATGGCGACAAAGATGCAGACAATAGTCCGACTAATGTAAAAACTGCACTAATATTTCTTGGTTAAAAATTATTATATTGGAATCGTAATCACGATCCAATTAATCAAACCTACAAATTCAAAAAAACTTTTTTTTAATTCGTAGGTTTGATGAATTGGATCGTGATTACGATTCCAATGTAATAAATTATAACCATGGAATATTAGTGTTTGAGCCTTTTATATTATATTCTTACTCTGTCCTGGACACTGAGTTCTAGCTGGATTTTATCCACTTAAGAATTTATATATATATATATATATATATATATATATATATATATATATACACAAACACACACAGATAGATAGATAGATAGATAGATAGTCTGGTAGTCATTAGATAGATACGTAGATAGGTAGTCAATTGTCTGTGTTCACTCAATGATTGTTCGAATCTGCAATAATTGCTTCCACATTCGATTCATCTACCAATTCCAATTTTCAATGGATAGCAACACTCATGATTCCAAATTCTTCTCAGGCCACGAATTTCGTAACTTTGTCTTTATGATCATTAGCTTAGAAAATGTCTTCTCGTGTTAGACTTGAAGAAGTGATAGTGCGCAGATGACTTTATAAAGTTGTTTTTTTATTCCTTTTTATGACTGAAACAGTTGCCTGTATTCGCTTCTTTATTGCATTTTTATTTGATAAATGGGGGCCGACACCATCAGGAGCCCAACTTGCCACCGGACAAGCTGACTCCCTGACCAGACTGCTAACGATTTTCCTTTATTTAGCCAAGTAATGAAGCAAGCTGAGTAGGGTAAATATCTATGAGCGCAAACACTCCGCCACTTAGAAGAATTTTGTTTTTTATACACTGTGCCATCATAAAACAAAACAAAAAATACTATGTAGACATATCTAAATATTGTCTTTGAAATCCATTTAAAAACTTTACGACCTTTTGTCCCGATCCAATATTTTTTTTCTGAAATTTTCCTAAAATTCACTAGATACAAAACCCAAGAGTCACTCAAGGTAGAGGGTTGCTGAATGCAGTTGTCGAGGTAGAGGGTTACAGAGATAGAGTTTTTGTAGATATCTGGGGAAGATGACGGTTGTTCATTGATTTGAACAGCATTCTCTTGAGAGTCGATTCTTAAAGCAGTGGTTCTCAGGAA